GGCGCCTCGGTGGAGCGGTCGGTGCGGAGCAACACGAGGGGCCGGCGAGGGGCTCGCCACGTCCCTCGTCACGTCCTCGCGTAGGGACCCGCAGGGCCTCCAAACAGGAGCGGGACCCGCTCAGGGCGAAGGCGACAGCGTCCCCCATTTTCCACACACACAACGATGGTGGCGGCGCCACCCGTCGCACTCTGCGTCCCGCCGAGCTCTCCCGGGCTCCGACCCGCCTGGGTGGAAGCCCTGACTGAGCTGAACCGGGCGGCCAGCCGGGAGCAGAGCTCGGTGTGAAGGATCCCCCACACAAAGCAACACCCGACGCTATTTTAATTCCCTATTTTCCCTCCTGTGTGAAGCAAACCAAGGAAACCTCAAATCAACATCACAGAGGATCTCTCCTACTCTCCACGTGTCCCTGGGCCTTGGGCACCTCGATGTTATCCAAGGGGCTCCCGAAATGCAAGCTGCAACTCGGGGCCCACAGTTTATTATTTTAACTTGTATTTTAACACACAAGGTGGAAAATTGGTTATGTTTCTGCTTTAAGCAGCTTCTCGGGCAGGGGTTGGCAGAAAGGCTGAAAAGCCAATCCCCCCAAAGCTGAAAATCTCAGGTAAAAAGGAGGTAGAACAGAAACAAAATGAAGGCAAACATGGGCTCGCCCGGGAGGGCAAGCCCAGAGCGGAGCGACGCCGACTTTCCCGGCTCTCCCTGGACTTTCTCCGATGGACACCGGAGCTACCACAACTCCATCTGTACAGGCAGCCCCGATCAGCATTCCGACACCCCGAGGAAGCGAGTGAGTTAAAACCCAGCACCTCCAAGGACTGCGGGACTGCGCTGTTGGGCACCCATGGTCTCGCCAGGACGTCCTGCCCGCTGTCGCTTACGGCCAGGGCCCTCCGACTCGTCACGTGAGAGAGAATCACTCGCGATGGGTTTCTCTCCTCAGAAGGACCCGGGTTGTTGAGTTTCTGCAGCCGCAGCTTCGGCGCGAGCCCTCGCCCGTCTCCACGCGGCTGTCACGCAGAGGAAACCAGCGCCGCCAGATGAGCGGCGAGAAGGAAGGTGGTTTCTAACGCGACTGACTCAAAGGCTGTGGGCGGATTCGCAATCGACTTCAAGCAGCTCCAGGTCCCATCCCAAGAAACCGGCCAGCGACGCGCTAACCACGCCAGCGGGCGACCTTTGTGCGCGCGGCCTGCGGCCACCGCGGAGACTTTCCGATGGGTTTTCTCCTGCGTTTTGCTCCTCTTCGTCAGCGCCGTCGTACTTCTCGCTTGCAGCGCGGTATTTGCGGAAACGACGGGCTTTCCTGCTATAAAGCGATGGCAGCTACTGACGCCAGGCATTTCTTGTCAACGGAGAAGGGGGTTTAAAGACAGCTCGAGTTTCTGAATCGGATGATATTCAATATGACAAGATGTAAACATTGACAGATCTCTTTAGATCCCGATGGAGCAACAAGATGGGTATCAGCCTCTCACACAAACGAGGCCATTGAATATTTTCCCCCTGGAAGAAGCGATGTGAATTTGACACATTAGGGCAGTAACAAGAAGCATGTTGGAAGTTTAGGATGTTTCCTTGGAAGGCAGACAGCAAAGCAGTGCATGCTGCAGGGAAACTCTGGCCCTCACAGCCCCGGTTTAAAGATGTGCTTTCTGCT